GAAGCGGGCATGGCAGATAACACAATGCTTTTTCTTTGAACTGTCCTAGCACTTCAGGCAACAGACCCTGCACCTCATCTCTCTAGAGCCTCACAGCAATCTCTCCAGTTAGAAAATCTAGAAAGGGCTGGAAGGGTCTTTACAAAGACTCCTGTCCAACTGCTTTGCTTTTTAGAGTGTTGCAAAGAGGTAACTAAGGCCCAGGGAGCTGAGAAGACTTATGCAGGGTCATATGCAATTTAAAGCCATAACCAGAAGGCATAAAATGACCCAGTCAGATGTAGAGGAAACAGCTTAGTAGTGAAAAAGGAATTGAATGAAAGGGGGAAAAAGACATAATAGTGCTTTGAACCAAAGAGCTTTATAAACACTTGTGGCTTTAACCTGCCCAGGAGGTAGATAAGCATGTGCCCTTTAGTTTGTCCTCAAACTCAACCTCTCACAAGAGGTTAAGGAACACACCCAAGGTTGGAATTGACACTCAGACCTCCAGACTTCCTGGCTTTGGAGCTGGAAGTTCAGCCTCCACCTCCCTTGTCTATCAGGAAAAACATCTGGGTTATAATGCTTGAGGATGGGATATCAAGGGGAAGTGGTGGAAGTTCGGTTCTTCAAGAAACTTTGAGCAAGACTGCATGAGACCCTGCTAGGGGCCCCTCCCATTCCCTGAGTCACGCCTCAAAGAAGTTTCTGCACTTCTATCCTGGAGGCTCCCCTTGTATGACCTTTAGGGAAATCTATTTGCCTAAGATGTTGGATGTAAGGAAAGAGAGCCGAGACTTCAAAATGTGTGAACAGACACCCCAAGGAGCTGCCTAAAGTAACAAAGCCTTTCCTTCACATGACTACTTCTCCCTGTTCTAACAGGGATTCTCAGCCACATAAGCGAGTGCCTAAAGCAAAGCAAGAGGAACAGGCAGGACAAGAAGAAAAAGCAAGGGGAAGTCATCTTTAAAGGCCAAAAGGTCACATAAAACATAATAAAATACAACTGTTTCCTTTAAAAATTTTAATGGACAGGAAATGGTATAGAATAACTGCCAAGTCACATAAATTAACTTTTTTGTTAATGTTTGTGATCCCGGAAAGAACACACTATCAGTCGATGCAAATTGCATGGGCGTTTTCATCAGTCGGTGTCTGGGCACATGACCGAATGTGGGCCACAGACCCATCTTTACTTGGTCCAGAAATAAAAGTGGCTGCCATGTATGGCAGGCTTCAGATCTCCCTCGATCTCAGGGCTGGGCTCCGGTCTTGGTCTTGAGTGATAGGGATTCTCCGGTAAAGGTCGATCTGTTTTCACTTTGGTGACCTGGGAAGGGTGAAGAGGGCAAAAGCAAAGTTGAAAGCTAGGGTGGAGAAATCTGTAACCATCAACGTACCTCCTGGTGTCTCCCCAATGCTCTGGCTGCCACAACTGCTCCCCGACTTAAATCCCCAGCAAATCACATTCAGACTTATTTAATTCTTGAACAAACACTCAGGAAAGCCTACTTTATGTCATTCCATGTGGTAGAAACTAGGGATACAGAAGGGAACAAGGTACTGTCCTCAAGGGGATCACAGTCTAGTGAGGGAGAAAGCCAGGAATAACAACTAAGATTTCCAAATTACCCCAATGACTAATGGCAATGATGGAGACAGGAACTGCCTGCTATAGGAGTAAGGACTGTGTACATCTAACCCATCCTGAAGGCTGGAGGTTTGGACTATTTTTGAAGAGGTAAGACTTAGCTTAAAGTCTGAGCAGGAGCCAGTCAGAAAGATAAGGGAGGAAAAGACATTCCAAGTAAAGAGTACATATGAAGATAGACAGGCATGTCTTCAGAATGGCTGAAGCAAAGTCTGCATGAAGAATGGAGGGAGATGAAGCATCTCACCAACCACTTATTGCTAGAAATGATGCTGGCACATGATTCCATTCCATTTTCACTCTTATGAGGTCATTCTGCAGGGGCTCACTGAGGCCACCTAGCTAATAGCGGAAGAAATAGTACACAAAGTCAGATATGCCTACTCCAAAGCTTGTGCTTCTTAATACCACACTACAGTGGTGGACAGGCCAGATGATAAAGGGTATTAAATGATACGCAAAGGTGTTTGCGTTTTAACCTGATGGTTAACAGGTGCCACTGAAGCAGGGCAGTAACTAAATCCCATCTCTGTAGGCTGGAAAGTGTGAAAGCTAGACTGGAGAGAGTCAAGACCCAAATCGGGGAGCTGAGCCAATAAGCCAGGAGAGTGGTGAAGTACTAAACTGCAACAGGGAGAGAGATACTTTACACTCACAGTATCCTCTGATGGTCACAAAAATCTCAACTGGAAAGCCAGCAGAAACTGCTGTCATTTTAAAGATAAATAGGCCCAGAGAAGTAAGAAGACATAAGGCCACAGCTGTCAATAGTCTTCTGATTATTCCCCTACTGGTCTGAACTCTTAAGTCACCTCATATAAGATGACCAGATTAATCTTCCTAGATGTATAAATTCAGAAACCTTTTATTGGGAACAGTTTTTGGGTATACAATCACACAATTATTATAACCACTTTATGAGGCATTATTATCTCTAGTTCACAGATGAAGACCAGGGAGGTTGGCATGCCTAAGATAAGATACACAGTAATGTCAGAGCTAAGGTTGGAACCTAAGTCTTCAATTCTACTAGTTTTGTTTGCTTTTGAAAGTTTTCCCAACGTCCTGCCATAAGCAGAGATGGTTCCTACTGATCCACTAATGGTTTCTTGGTATTTGCAGCTCCTTTAAGGAATTAAAGACATTTATGAAATTGGCTGGGCACGGTGGCTTATGCCTGTAATCCCAGCACTCTGGGAGGCTGACGCAGGCGGATCACTTGACGTCAGAGTTCAAGACCAGACCAGGCAACATAGTGAAACCCCATCTCTGCTAAAAATACAAAAATTAGCTGAGCGTGGTGGCAGGCACCGGTAATCTCAGCTACTCAAGAGGCTGAGGCAGAATTGCTTGAACCTGGGAGGCAGAGATTGCGGTGAGCAGAGACTGTGGCACTGTACTCCAGCCTGGGTGACAGCGTGAGACTCCACTTCAAAAACAAAAACAAAAACAAAATGTTGCCCAGGCTAGTCTTGAACTCGTGAGCTCAAGCAATCCTCCTGCCTCAGCCTCCCAAAGTGCTAGAATTGCAGGTGTGAGCCATGGCACCTGGTCGAGAAATACACTTTTGAAAAGAGTAAAGATAATTTTTTTTTTATCTTACAGAGTTTAAAAAAGTGTTAATACAAAGATTCAAGAATCAATATGCTTTCTTACTAGCATGACTTGTTATTTCTTCTTTCGTAAGTGTCGGAAATGAGAAAAGGTAGTTTTATTTGTTACATATGTAAGTTCTACCACTTTCCAACCTAGAATTATCAACTATTTAAAATAATATGTTCAGTAAATCAAAAAGTATCTGAAAATAATCATGCCAGATACAAAAGGCAAAAAGTTTGCTAAGTTATTATTTATGACACCAAGCTTATATTCACAGATGCTATACACAAAGAGATGGGAACTAGACCGGGGGCTAAGGTGGCAGGATCGCTTGAGCCCAGGATCTCAAGACCAGATTGGGTAACACAGCAAAATCCTGTCTCTACTAAAATACAAAAATTAGCTGGGCATGGTGGCCTGCGCCTGTAGTCCCAGCTACTCGGGAGGCTGAGGTGGGAGAATCACCCGAACCCAGGAATTCAAGGCTGCAGTGAGCTGTGATCGCACCACTGTATTCCAGCCTGGGAGACGGAGTGAGACCTGAGATTTTTCCTCCATGCCTTGCTACCTGTGCTGCCCCAGAGGGAATGGATGGAGCTGAGGCTGAAGAAGCAGGGATGGGTCAGATCATAAAGGGCCTGCATGCCATGTTATAGAGAAGATGCTTTATCTCACCAGCAATGGAGAGTCCCATCCAGTTTTTAAAAACACAGTGACATAGATTTATTTTCCACACAGATCGCTCTTCTTGTGGAGGTGTAATTTTATTCTCAATTCTTCATCTAAAGCCCACATTGATCCACCCTCCTCTCCCAGAAATTCATGTACCCCAGGTTAAGAACTCCTGTCCAAGAATAAGATAACAGCAGCAGGAACAATGAGGGATTTAAAAAAAAATTCCAGGAGATGCTAATCTATAGGAAGAGATGACTGCATGGAATCAGAACAGTAGGGAATGAAGAATTCAGGTTTCTAGCTCTCATGTTTCAACAGATGGTGGTGTCACAACTAAGATAGGAAATACAGGAGAAAGACAAACACTTTTAAAACTACAATTATGTAGTTTTAAAAAAAAATCTTAGATATGTTCCTGAAAAATGTGGCATAAACCTGATCCTATTTCCCCAGTGAATTCCACAATAACCTCCACAATGTTTTCAACTAACAGTGTTTCACTAATACTTTAGCTTCCTCTACTCCCTTCTGTTCTTTAATTAGCTAATTAACTAAAAATAAATCTGCACATCTAGAAGGTCTAAAGAAATATTTCTATTTTTTTCTGTTTTTTTTTTTTTTTTAAGACAGAGTCTCCCTCTGTTGCCTAGGTTGGAGTGCAGTGGCGCAATCTCAGCTCAGTGCAAGCTCCGCCTCCTGGGTTCATGCCATTCTCCTGCCTCAGTCTCCCAAGTACCTGGGACTACAGGCGCTTGCCACCACGCCCGGCTAATTTTTTGTATTTTTAGTAGAAACAGGGTTTCACCATGTTAGCCAGGATGGTCTCGATCTCCTGACCTTGTGACCCGCCCACCTTGGCCTCCCAAAGTGCTGGGATTACAGGTGTGAGCCACTGCGCCCAGCCAGAACTATTTTTATTTTTAAAAATTCCTTTCTGGACTATGTATAATCACTGCCTAATTAATATGTTTGGTAAATCTGGCAAGTTCTTACATCATATCTGTATTCACAGAGACCCTTTGTTGACCACCTCTTGCCTTTATCCCACCCCTGAGTGAGAAAGTGAGACCTCCAGGAGAAGCCTTTTTACCTTTGACAGTTCTCCCAGGTCAGGCCGCACCCAGCCCAGTTTGTCCAGCACACACTCGTCAAACTTTGCCTGCTGTTTGCGACAGTGACGAAATAACTGCTGGCCAGTATAATCAATGCAAGTCCAATATTCTGTAAAAGGCTCTGCGCAGTGACGTTTTATCTGCCTGGAAAAGAAGGCTGGGTTAAACAATGAAAAACAGAAAAATGGTAAAACAATGAAAAACAGAAAAGTGAGAAGAAAATAGGTACAGATCTCAAATACATAGCCTTGCTTTTTGAAAGGTATATGAGTAAATATTCTTACCTCACTTACAAGACAACTTCAGGATCCTCCAGTTGAGAACAAGTTAGTAAACAAAAAAGATTTCTGAGGTAGAAAACCTAATTTCTTTATGTAGTAAGAAGAAAAGAGTGTAGCCTAATGCATGCATATTTTACTCAGAGAGGAACTCCTTACTTGGGGCCTATTTATTCTTTTCTTTAGATCCAATTCCTCAAAGGGTATCAGCTTAGCAAATTTAGAAGAGAAGGAGGCATAATTAGATAATGGACATGCTGACAGAAGTCAGAGGTGACAGACAATGGCAAACGAAGAGACAAAATTATACAAAGCAAATACACAAACTAACAAGCAGAAGATCCTGGGATCATTTAGTATAAAGACAAACTGCACTCCACTCCTCAAAAGCTCAAGGTCCTCATTCTATTTACACACTGAATAAAAATAGATATTAATCCTTGCTATCAAGAACAAAGTTATATTATATTTGGTATTCTCTGTTAAGAAGCAGGGTAGCATATAATTCATTCTGTGGCTATCAAAAATGGCTAGAGAAAATTTAACTTCTGTGTATAAAAAGAATAAGCTTCAGTTTTTTGCAAAATCCCCCTTATCATTCAACCCTGCTAGTATGCATGTTCAAGCAAGAATAAAATACCATCATTTTATGTAAAAGCCATACTTGAGGCAGTGAAATTCAGAACACCTCTTTCTCCCAATGAAATAATAATTTTATTATTTAAGTGCTTACCTGTCATACTCCAGAAATCTAGCTACACTCTCACATGAATCATGTTTAACATGGATCAGGAAGGAAGGATTTCAGAGATGGCCTACAGAAGTACACAGTGACAAATCTGCTTTCCACTCCTGGCCAATAAGCCACTCAGCTGCCCTCCTGGAGGTCCACCAACGTCACTGGTTTCTTAGGTTTCCCTTCCAGGTATTCTAAGCACAACCTGCACCCACATAACTTCTACACAAGAATCACTTTGGTAGAAAGCAACCATTTCCAATGGGAGTTTTATATTCCTCCAAAACGCTGCAGCAGCAGACAGGCTGCAAACCGCTACTCTAGTAGCACGGATCCCTGTTCTGGACCCCGTTCCCCATACCTAACAATTATCTATTAATGCCTACAACCAGCAACTTCAGCAGTGAGAAATTCCTCTATGGAGGCAGCTAGGCACCTTGGGAATTTGTGAAATCCAAACATTCCCCGCTTAAAACGTACTACCACTGGGCCATGGAAAAAAAGCTTTGCAAAAGTTCTCTTAGAAAATAAAAATTGTTTAGACTGGATGTGGTGGCTCACGCATGTAATCCCAGCACCTTGGGAAGCCAAGGTAGGCGGATCACTTGAGGCCAGGAGTTCAAGACCAGCCTGGACAACATGGCGAAACCCCATCTCTACTAAAAATACAAAAATTAGCCAGGCGTGGTGGCACATACCTATAATCCCAGCTACTCAGGTGGCTGAGGCACAAGAATCACTTGAACCCAGGACACAGAGGTTGCAGCAAACCAAGATCATGCCACAGCACTACAGTCTGGGTGACAGAGTGAGACTCTGTCTCAAAAAAAAGAGAAAAATTGTTTAAATAAACACACACACACACACTCAACCTCGCTGGCAATCAAATCAATGCAAATTGAAACATCCAAAAATATTTGCACCCCCCAAATATTTAAATATTATGCATACCAGAAGCCAGCGCTGAGGACAGCATAAACTGATCCAACATTTAAAAACCAAATGCAATTGCTGGGGACGGTGGCTCACGCCTGTAATCCCAGCACTTTAGGAGGCCGAGGCAGGCGGATCATGAGGTCAGGAGATCGAGACCACGGTGAAACCCTGTCTCTACTAAAAGTACAAAAAATTAGCCGGGCGTGGTGGTAGGCGCCTGTAGTCCCAGCTACTAAGGAGGCTGAGGCAGGAGAATGGTGTGAACCCGGGAGGCGGAGCTTGCAGTGAGACCGCGCCACTGCACTCCAGCCTGGGCAACAGAGCGACATTCTGTCTCAAAAAAAAAACAAACAAAAAAAGACAGCAATAAAGTTCAAGAGCCATAATAATGTTCAAAGCCTTTTATAGAATAACCTCACTGTTAGGAAATTTATGCCGATGAATTATTGACTAATGAAAACGATCTACACGCAAAGGTAATCACTGCAGATTTATCCAAAATAATCAAAAACTGAAATCAACAATGATGTTCAATAACAGGAATTGGTCAGGTATGTTATGGTTGGTTTATCCACTGATGGAATAATATATAACCATTAAAAATGATGATCATGGCCAGGTGCGGTGGCTCACACCTGTAATCCCAGAACTCTGGGAGGCCAAGGACAGCGGATCACTTGAGGTCAGGAGTTCGAGACCAGCCTGGCCAACATGGTGAAACTCCATCTCTACCAAAAATACAAAAAAATTAGCCAGGCTTAGTGGTGCGGGCCTGTAGACATGTGAATCGCTTGAAGCCAGGAGGCAGAGGTTGCAGTGAGCCAAGATCACACCATTGCACTCCAGCCTGGGCAACACAGTGAGACTCCGTCTCAAAAAAAAAAAGATCATGAAGACTATACAGCAACTTCAAGAATGTTTCCAATAATGTCAAGTGAAAAATAAAAATGAATTTCTCAATGTATACATACTATGATTATAACCATAAAAATATCTTTGCATAGGGACAAAGACAGCAGAAGCAAGAAAGAAGGAAAGCAGCTACTGTGCTAAGGTATCTATTTTTCTTTTCTCTAATGTCACTGTTGTGGACATTGGTGGTTTTTGCCTAGTCAGCAGTCATTCCCCCATTCTTCTGTAACATCCTTCTAATTTTCCTTTGGAAACAACCCCTCCCTGTCTCTTAGCAATGTGGTTTGGATGAAGCTAAGTCCACTCCCCATCTCAGGCCTAACCAATCAGAGCCTTTTATCTCCTGAAGCACAAGTGATGCAATGATATGTATATGAAGTCAGCCAGCCAGGACAATTAGACTCAGTCCAGGAGCTTCTGCTCACTTCTGGATAAAGGGCACACTTTGTCTAGGTTTGCTAAGCAAGTATCAACAGAATAGCAACTTGAGTGGCTGGTGGCCATTTGTGGTACAGTAAGGTGACAGCCTTTCTGAAATGAGGTAAACAGAGAAAACCAGAACTAAAAGACTGTGAAAACAGGAGAGGCAAAAAGACATCAAGTAATTGTGAAATTATTTAAGCCCTTGAATCCAGTCCTGCCTGATGCCAGGCCTATTTCTGGACTTCAGAGTTACAAGAGCCAATTTCCTTTGAGTTGACTTTCTCTCCTTTTAAATAGAGTGCTAATATGCTTGTTAAAACATCCTCCTACAATTACACAGTTTAGGTTTTTTTAACTTAAGTATCAAGCACAGTGACCTACCTAAAACCTAACTCTGAATACAATTTTCTTTCCATCATACCTGTGTTCTGTAGTAATGACAACAACCTAGTGAATGCCTGCTTAAAAAGGACTGTGCTAAGTTGTTTTACATGCCTTTTCAAATTTTTCACAGCAAAAAGACTTTCCCCTTGCTGTAGCAAAAATGGTCACCAGTCACTTGCTTAGCAAACGTAGATAGGTATTATTTTACAATTTGGAAACTGAGATTCATGGAGATTAAAGAACTTGCCAGATAATAAAAACAAAACTAAAAATAATTATCATCCTTTGAATGTTTTACCTTGGTCTGATTTCAAAGCCTATGTACTTCCTACTAAAATCCACATTATTAGCTGGCTGTTCACTTATTAATTTAAACCTTTATGTTTCAACCAAGTAGGCACTGATACCAGAAGATTTTTACCTAAAGAAGTCCAAAGCACACTTGTTGACCAGCTTGCCTTCCTCCAAACACCGCCTCGGATCTTTCTCTTCCCAGCGGCAGAGCATAAACTCCTTGTTGGGCTTATCACACTGAGCTCCATAGTGATGGGCCGCAGCTTTAAGCACAGCAGAACTAACTTTCACCTAGGAAAGGAAAGATGGGAAAAAGACCACAGACTGTGAACCAGAATACCACTTTCTCAAGTTAACCTCATGCGGGTCAGAATAGAGAACACAAAAGTAGCACTGTTCTGACTTTACCAAGAGTAGCACTGTTCTGACTTTACCAAGTGCTACCAAAAGTAGCACTGTTCTGACTTTGTCATTTTTTTTTTTTGGTCACTCCCATCACCCAGGCTGGAATGTAGTGGCGCGATGTCGGCTCACTGCAACTTCGGCCTCCCAGGCTCAAGTGATTCTGCTGCCTCAGCCTCCCAAGTAGCTGGGATTACAGGCATGAGCCATCTCACTCGGTGATTCTTTATAATCTGTGGTGATTTAGAGAACACGAAGCTCTTTCACATATATTATTTTCTTCACTTTTACAATAATCTCATGAAAAGGTTACTATTCCCATTACTATCCCCTTTTTAGAGCGGAAGAAATGGCACCCCTAATAGAATCTTTAGATATGTATGGTAGACAGAAAGGGGGTGTGGAGAAGGATGGAGGCTTCTGGGATGTAGGGAGAGGAACCAACTCTGGAGAGCTTCACTGAGTTTCTGCTGCTGGAATAAAATTAATAGATATATAAGGCTGGGCACAGTGGCTCATACAGGTAATCCCAGCACTTTGGGAGGCCAAAGTAGGCAGATCATTTGAGGTCAGGAGCTCAAGACCAGCCTGGCCAACATGGTGAAAGCTCATCGCTAGTGAAGATACTAGAGATGTATCTGGGCATGGTGGTATACACCTATAATCCCAGCTACTAGGGAGGTTGAGGCATGAGAATTGCTTGAACCCAGGAGGCAGAGGTTGCAGTGAGCCAAGATCATGCCACCACACTCCAGCCTGGGTGACACAGTAAGACTCTGTCTCAAAAAAAAAAAAAAAAAAGAATTAAATTAAATCAAATTAATGGATAAATAAAACTCCCAGAGGACTACAGAGTCACAGAAGACGAGGCTGGAAGGGATCACAAACAGCATCTAGTCCATCTAGTAACAGTCCATCTAGTCCATCTAGTAGTAACTAATAATAAAGTACTGGCCGGGCGCGGTGGCTCAAGCCTGTAATCCCAGCACTTTGGGAGGCCGAGATGGGTGGATCACGAGGTCAGGAGATCAAGACCATCCTGGCTAACACGGTGAAACCCCGTCTCTACTAAAAATACAAAAAACTAGCCGGGCGAGGTGGCGGGCGCCTGTAGTCCCAGCTACTCGAGAGGCTGAGGCAGGAGAATGGCGTGAACCCGGGAGGCGGAGCTTGCAGTGAGCTGAGATCCGGCCACTGCACTCCAGCCTGGGCGACAGAGCGAGACTCCGTCTCAAAAAAAAAAAAAAAAATAAAATAAAATAAAATAAAGTACTAAAATCTGCAAATTTTTTAAAAATCAGAGCATATCCAAGGTTGCTATCCCTTTAACTATGCACACCAGTTTCCCTCAATAGCATTTTAGTGATATTTTCTTGAGAAGATACACAGTGTAGATACAGCCAGCACAGAAAGAACTGTAAACTGCCCACGGCCTACTAACAACTGCTTAAGCAAGAGACCTGCTGGTCCCTTTTCTGTACTACCTTTTCTTATACCAATACCACAATGTTTTAATTACTGTCACTGAAGAGAACATTTTGTTATCTGGGAGAACCATCCTCTTCATTCTTCCTTTTCAAAACTTTTCTGGCTATTCTTTCAGAAGAACACCTTCCCCCAATAATTTGCACTCAAACTGTATTAAATTTAGTTATATATTAAATTAGGGAACAATGGGCACTTTTATAAAACTGGGTACCTGCTCAAACTTCACATCCTCAGAGAGTCTCTCTCTAATCATCTTTTATAAGCTAGCATCAGTGGTCACTCATGTGGTCTGGTCTTAGCACTCATGATCAATTCTAGATATACTTGTTCTTTCCTCTCTGTAAGCACAATCTCTGTGTAAGCACCAATCACGCTGGGGTCATCAACATCTTTCTCAATAATTTTAAGAGCCACTGAGTGGTCTGTGTGTGACTAGAATATAAGCTCCAAAAGGGAAGGGATTTTGTTATCAACAGAGATTCACTACTGTAAAGATATCAATTCTCCCTAAATTAATATATGGTAATTAAATATAATGTTGACTACGGTACACACCAAGCACCCAAAATAGTGTCTAGCATAAGTAGTTGTTGAGCACCCACTCTTTGCTAGAAAATGGGGATACAATAATTAGAAAACAGATAGGAATACATGAATTACACCTTCTCATCCACAACACAGTACTTCTCTCCATTTATTCATATTCAGGTCATTCTTGTCCTTTGGTTAAAATTACAGTTTCCTTCATTATAGGGACCTTGAAGATTTCTTGTTTATTCCTCAGTATTTTAGCACTTTTGATACTATCTAAATAGGATAGTTTTTCTATTAGATTTTCAAACTGCTTGCTTTTGAAAATTTGCTTGTTTATTGCTTGCTTGTACACTGTATTTTCTCTCCAGCCATCTTACTGAACTCTTGTTAGTTCTGACACAAAACTCAAGAAGATTAACAGAAAAACTGCCATTTACAAATAAAAACTGTCTCTTTCCCTTCTCATACTTTATTTTTTCTTCTTATTCTCATTTCCTATTTTATTGCTTTGACCAACCCCTTCAGGCCAATACAGATGAAGAGCAATGACAGCAGACAATCTTCCCTTTTTCTAAAATTAAAAGCAGGTTTGGTATAATATTTGCTGTTGGTATCTGGAATATAGTTGTTTGGATATTCCTTGTTAAGAAAACTTCTTTCTAATTCTAATTAGTTTTGCTTTACCCATGTTTTCTATACCAGAAAAGACTAAAATTTTTAGGCTTCGTTTTCATTAATTTATAAATGTAACATAGAGCATTAACAGATTTTGTAAAACGGATCCAATGTATTTCTAGAATAAAATCTAGTCTGTCACAGTGTATTATGCTTTAATACACTACTGAATTTGATTTGTAAAATTAAAATTTTTTGTGTGAGGACAGTCTGTAATTTTATTTTATTTTATTATTATTTTTTTTTTGAGACCGAGTTTTGGTCTCGTCCAGGCTGGAGGGCAGTGGCGCAATCTCGGCTCACCGCAACCTCCGCCTCCCGGGTTCAAGTGATTCTCCTGCCTCAGCCTTCCTGAGTAGCTGGGATTACAGGCATGCACCACCAAACCCAGCTAATTCTGTATTTTTGGTAGAGACAGCGTTCCTCCATGTTGGTTAGGCTGGTCTCAAACTCCCAACCTCAGTGATCCTCCCACCTCAGCCTCCCAAAGTGCTGGGATTATAGGCATGGGCCACCGCGCCCAGCTGTAATTTTATTTTTTATTCACTTTACGCAGCTAGGTTATTAATAAAAGGCAAGGAAAGATGACAAGGGTAATAATCTATACACTATAGAAAGGAGAATAAAGTTATGACTATGTCTATTAATAGTGCAACTGTTATAATTATCAAAAATAAAGTTATAACATAAGTGAAATCTGCCATGATGACTAATAAATTTATGTTTAAAATCTGTAAAGTTTTCGTATTAAAGGTTTTGAAAATAATTTATTTAGGAAAACTGGCACACATTTGCTTGTTTTATTACCTATAAACAACTAGGAGAATAAAAACTAACACTCAAACTTTTTTAAAAGCTTAATATATTTTAATAATTAAGTTAGTTATATTTACTTGTCATATGCCTTAAAAAAGCTTTAACTGGCTGATTCATCTATTCAAAGGCCCAAAACTATAAGGCCTGCCTGCATTATTTATTTCCCTACAAATGTGGAAATCTTATCAAAACGAAGGTATACTCATGTTGTTGAGCATATCAAACACCATCCCTGTCACAGGAAAATAAAGGAAGACATTGAGTCTGTTTTGTAATTAATGAAAAAGAGGGATGTGCTAGAGACAACACAGTGAGTCAGTGGCAACCCCGGTGGCAACCCCAAAACTGGAACACTGAGATTGTGACCTCCAATGAGGCTTCTTCCCATGATATCACCATCACTGAGGTGGATGAGCCTGAGATGTCACCATATCCCCTCACCTGCTTCTTCACTAAGACTGATGAATTCCAACAGAAACAACATCCTTTCACAGCTGTTTACTGTGAATACCCTCTCAAATTCATTCAGCTCTCTTTGTCTCAAAGAACACAGAATTTCAACATCCTTCCTCATTTATTCTCACAACAGCCTCACTGCGCAGCAGGGTTACAGTCTGCAGGTGTGGAAACTGAGACAAAGTCACCATCTAGAGCCAATCAAACTTCTAGTCCTGTCCTTGCCTCCTTAAACTATGTCTGTACCTCTTTTTATAGTACTTTATTTATACCATACCTTGAGTTTTCCTAAATTTATGTAAAACAGAGAATAGTACTTATTTAATAAAACTGTTACGAAGATTCAATTAGCTAATACATATAAAAATAAGAACAGTGCCTATCACATTGAAAGTACACCATAAATATTAGCTATTTTTATTTTCACTCAAAATTGTCAATATGTCCAAGGACTTTCCAGTCCAAAGCTTCTGACTGCTTTTTTCAATGGAGATGTGTCATAACTCCTAAGCCAATGAGGTCCAAAATGTACTTAACTCGCTCTCCAAACCTGCTCCTTCTTCTGGCTTCACCAGAAATATTGCCATGTTGCAAATCTGACTTTGATTCTTCAACTTTCCCTGCCTCCAATATCAAATCCATTGCTAAGTCTGATCAATTCTAGATATACTTGTTCTTTCCTCTCTGAAAGCACAGTCTCTGTAAACACCAATTACACTGGGATCATTAACAACTTTCTCAATAATTTTAAGAACCACTGAGACCAGTCTCCCTGCTTTTCTTTTTGTTTCTTCAATCCACTCTTCACACAGCTGCTAGAGTGATCTCCCTAAACGACAATTCTTATTTTACTCTGCTATTAAATTAGCAACCAAACTCTCATTCAGCCTTAATAGCAAAATAAAGCCTAAACTTCTTAACGGGTATGGAAAGGCTTCTGGACCCAAACTATCTTCCCATCCTTCTCACCCACAACATTTCAAAAAGGGACTATTTACTGTTCTCTCAGAACACTGAACTCCTGTTTGGCTCCCTGCATTTTCCCATCTCCTTACTTTTGCTCAGACCCTACCCTCACTCAGAGGGGTCTTCTCTCCATCTCTGCCTATAAGTGCCATTCTTCAAATGCCATTTAGCCACATCTTACATTATGCCCAAAAAGTGCTTTCTCTATTCCCTTTATAGCTTCAGAGAATTTTATAGCTGGGATCACCTCATCTTACAAATAACCATGTCTGCAAATGCTAAAATCAAGTAATCAAGGTGACCGGCAGGTAGGCCTAAAATTTAGATCCCACTTCAAATCTTTTCCTAAACCATATCTGCCCCCTTTCATAGTATTTAATCACACTTTGTCTTGTATTTTAGTTATTTAAGTAATTATCTGTATGTTCATTCAATTGTGTGAAGCCTAAAGGCAAATGTATTTCAGATATACCAGTTCTATGAAATAGAATCTCAGACGTTTGTTGAACCTAATAAAAACTGCAACAAGAAATTCAGCAACTCAAGATTAACCCAGCTACATGGGGGGTGGGGGGGAACAAAAGACTGGTGGCCACAGGGCAGCTCCCCTCTGCCACCTCAGAGTAAATGTCACTTTAATATAAGTCCCTGAACATAGCTAATAATTTCTTCCTCTGAGGAAAATAACAGTTGCCACTCTCACAGGCATCTAAGTTTAAATGAAGCATTGCAGGTAAAACACTTAACATATGGCCAGGCGCGGTGGTTCATGCCTGTAATCCCAGCACTTTGGGAGGCCAAGGCGGGCAGATCACTAAGTCAGAAGATTGAAACTATCCTGGCTAAAACGGTGAAACCCCGTCTCTACTGAAAATACAAAAAATTAGCCGGGTGTGGTGGCGGGCGCCTGTAATCGCAGCTACTCGGGAGGCTGAGCGCAGAAGCGCTTGAACCCGGGAGGCAGAGGTTGCAATGAGCCAAGATCGCGCCACTGCACTCCAGCCTGGGCGACAGAGCGAGACTCTGTCTAGAAAACAACAACAAACAAAGAAAACACTTAACATAGTATATTAGTGCTGGCACATCATTTCTAGTCTTGGTCTTCCTCTCCTTTAATATAGCCTGTTCTACTACTCAGCCGTGCCATGGCACTCCTGTGCTTTAAAATCTTCCACCTCTTCTCACCATCTCCCTTACGGGATCAAGTCCAGACTGTTTGGTCTGGCCTTATGGAAGCTGCTTCCAAGTCCTATCTCAGTCCAAGTTGCCTCTCCAGGCTCAGCACCTGCTGCTTCCCACCACCACCACTAGGGTCACATCAAACCGTACTTGGCTTCCTAAACACACAGATTCTGCTAGGCCTTCTCATTCTTTTGAGTTTTCACCCATAATACAGTGGAAAAGCATTGGTTTTAAAATCAGACCTGGGTTCACTTCCAGCTCTATTACTTACAAGCTCCATGACCTTAGGCAAATCACTTCTACTCTCGGGGCCTAGTTCCTTATTTATAACATGTTACGACCCATTGTGTATATATATATCCTACCTTACAGTGTTGCTGGGAAGATTCAATGAATTAATGCACGGAAAGTAATTAGCATCCTGCTTGGCATCTAGAAAGGACTTGATCATGTTAGCTATAATTAGTAGGGTATGTTTCTATTTCACTACATTGTACTGTGATGGCCTCTTTATGTGTCTGTCTCCCTACTGGATTGAAAGTCCATGAAAGCAGGAAGTATACCTCTTCCAGCATTGTGTGTACATGTTAATTACTCAAATGATATCTCCTGAATAAACGAATGCTTTAAGTGAGTCCTGTTACCAAACACCTTCCCATGGCTGCGAGTAGATGCACGCTCCAATATCGTCTCGTTTTCCCGCGGCCTTCTCGCCCCACTCTATGCACTCTGCACCGGTGATACCACTTTAAGGTAGTGACTGTCTCCCTCGACTGTGAGCCCCTAGGGTTCACACTGAGCCCCTATACTCACTTCGCATGCAAATTTGAGGATTAAGCGACATAAGCTAAGTAAAATGACTGGTTGGTGCTTAATAAAATGTATCACTATTATTCACGGAAGGAGAAGCAGGTCGCCGTGGAAGGCGAAAGGGGAAGGATTCTAGAGTCATTGCGGGATGCAACAGGGTGGGGTAGAGAGGGGAGGCGACTCCCGAAGCTGCGGAGGGGACCTCCGGGGGTCGACCTGTATAGGTGTTGGAGGACTGGGGAGGGGGGCCGGGGCCCAGGATCCGCGGAGCCTAAGCGGGGCTGGGCCCAGGCCCGAGAAGCCGCAGCCCCATGTCTCCCTTGCCTGTCCTCCGGACAGCCTCACCTCGTCTACTTTCAGCTCCTCTAGAGTAGGCAGCTCCACTATCCCCGGCATGACGGCTGCAGCCCCGACCCCGACGAGGAGCCCTCAGCCGCGTCTCCCCCGTCTCCTTGAACTCCCCTTTCGACCGCTGAGTGCCACACGGCGCCTGCGCCTGCGCATCCGGTAACACGCAGGCGCACTGCTCTGCCCACCCGCGAGCGAGGGAGCGTGCGCAATACCAAGAAGCTTGCCGCCTCCAGGGGGCGGGGCTTCGATTCGGCTCCGCCCACCCCTCCAGGTTGTCATAGTGATGCCGTCTCCACTGAGACTCCGGATCCTAACAGCTGGAAGCTAAAAACAGGCTCCATGGAGTACACAGGGAGCAAATATATCGGGGAATATGTAGATGGGAGGTAAGGGGCTCATTTGATTCACTTACTATACCTTGAATAGCTGTGACTGGAAAAAGACAGCTGTCTTTTTGCTTCTGCGAAACACCTTGTGCCAGGCACTTTCACAAACTTGCCAGAGTAATTTTCTCAAGGACCATATCTAATAAGCAGCAAAGCTGAGATGCATTCATTCCATATATACTTATATGTGTGTGTGCATTCACTGTGTGTGCGTGTGTGCGTGTTTGCTATCTGCCAGTTTTAGACATAGGAATAAGAATATTTAAAATGTCAAGATCCTTGCTCTTATGGAGTTTATAATCCAGTTGGAGATGTATTGCCAATAAACAAATAAGTGATAAAATAATTACAGATAGTGGTAAATGCTATGAAAGCAAACACGAAGATTGGGGAAGAGAGACTGTGGCTAATCTGAATCGAGACGGTCGCTTCCCTCCAGGAGTTCACAATCTAGAGATTATTATAGAGGATTATATACACAAATCACTGTAGTGGACTAGTAGTAAAAAACAATTCAACAGTTTTTTTTTCCTTCCTTTCCTTCCTTCCTTCCTTCCTTCCTTCCTTCCTTCCTTCCTTCCCTCCTTCCCTCCCTCCCTCCCTCCCTCCCTCCTTCCTTTCTCCATTCCCTCCCTCCCTCCCTCCTTCCTTTCTCTCTCTCTCTCTCTCTCTCCCCCCCTCTCTCGTTTTTGTGGGGTTTTTTTGTTTGTTTGTTTGTTTGTTTTCAGACAAGATCTCGCTCTGTTGCCCTGGCTGGAGTGCAGTGGCCTGTTCACTGCTTACTGCAGCCTCAACCCCCTAGACTCAAACAATCTTCCCGCCTCAGCCTCCCAAGTAGCTGGGACTGTGGGTGTGCACCACTACCCCAGCTAATTTTTCAATGCCTTTTGTAGAGATGGCGTCTTGCTATGTTGTCCAAGCTGGTCTCGTACTCCTAGGCTCAAGTAATCCTCTTGCATGAGCCACTGTGCCCAGCAATTTAACAATGTTGAGTGGCTACCAAGTACCAGGCCCTGGAATTGACTCTGGGCACAATCCCTGTCCTCAGAAAGTTCATTCAAACATGATGGGACAAGTAGACATAACTGATAACTGTGATTCAGTGTGGTAAGAGCTGTGGTAGAGAGAAGCAGAGGAAACACAGAGGTGGCCACTCTTTCTTGCCAGTCACCCTGGATGAAGAAAGTGGAATCTCTGTTTTTATAGCTGAGGAAACCAAGGCTGGACGATATGAAGTGGTTTGCCAAACCAGTGCTAGTTGTGGGGACTGTGAAACACTCCCACCTTGGGGCCCCGTATTCACAAGTTGGTGGAATTCCAGGCCATTTTGGATTAATAAGAAAGAGGGATCTGTGGTCTGGGCAGGGATAGGAGATAGATTCCTAGAGAAGGTGGTAGGAATGCTATGGGATGCTATCTCTAATCCTTACATCAGTCTTTCAAGGAAGATGTTATTATCTTTCCAGGTAAGAAAAGTGACCTTTACAGGGCTTGAGACACTTATCTTACTCAGCAGGTAAGTGGCAGAGATGCCTTGGTGTGTACCCTCTCTCACTACTCAGTGAGATAGTTCAGGCTGACCTTGCAAATAAAGGAACAGAAGTTAAGAGAAGCAAAATGACTTGCCCACCATTATGGATACACAGCTAGGAAGTAATGGAGTCAGGATTTGAACCCAATCCTCTGTACAAACCACATTCTTACTTTTCACAAGGCCCTGTTACAGTGAAGGTGGTAGAATTTTGGCAGATAGAGATGCGGTATTGGGCATTTTAGGCACAACAAGTTGAGAAACTCCATTAATTTTCAATGGGCTGTGTATGTGCGAGAGAGAAACACACAGACAAGGCAAAAGAAGGAAGGCTTTCAACCATTTGCCTTTGGCCTTCTGTGCATTTTCATTGGGTATGTCGAGTCAGCCAGTTCCATGCTTTTGTCCCTAGGAATTTGGGTTTTGCTTGAGGTTGTTTGGTACCTCTGTAACCACGAAAAGGATTTCCAGACCTGAACAGGGCTTCCCAACTTCCCATAACTAGCAAGAAGTCAGCAGTTTTTCGCTTGTTATACTTCTTTTCATAAGTGGAACATGTGTTGTTCTGTATTGATTTTGTATTTTTAACAACAGTTAACTAGAGTTCTATTTGGGGCGTCTCAAATTTCAGCATGTAACGAGAGAGACAACATAGTAGAGGTAAAAAGGTTTCAGCATCAGATAGGTCTGGGCTCAAGTCTGCCACTTGCTTGTTGTACACTTAATTAACCATCCATACCTCAGTTTCCTCATCTGTAAAATGGGAAAGCAATGCACATTCAGCAGTAGTATTCCAAAGAATAAGTAATGATCATAGATGGATGTTATTTACATACGGTAGGTACTCAATAGCTTTTTTTTAATTTAGGGAGGGGATATTTTCCTCTTGGCGTTTAAATGAATATAGTAACTTCTCTATATAGTAGGAAGTTGATATTTAACGTTTGGTTTAAAAAGTTTATGTAGACTCTCCACGGCTGATAGGAACATCAAATGGTATGACTGCTTTGGAAAAGTTTGGCAGTTTCTTAAAAAGTTAAACAGCCATTCCACTCATAAGTATTTACCCCAGAAATGAAAGTGTATATCTATACAAAGACATGTATACAAGTACTCATAGCAGCCTTATTTATAACAACCAAAACTAGAAACAAACCCAAATGTCATCAACAGAGGAATGAAGAAACTAACTGTGATATATCCATTCATTGGAATACTACTCAGCAATAAAAAAGAGTGAACTACTGGTACACAGAACAACATGAATGAATCTCAAAAAATTACGTTAAGTGAAAGAAGCCAGACAGAAAAAGAGTAGATACTGTATGATTCCATTTATGTAAAATTCTAGAAAATGCAAATCTATGGTGATAGAAGGTAGATCAGTAGTCACCTAGAGATGAGGATTGTGGGCAGGGGCAAAGAGGAAGTGTTATGGAAAGAAACTTTTGTGGGGAATAGATATGTTGTCTTGATTGTGATGATGGTTTCCCAGGTGATGTCAAAACATATCAAATTGTACACTTTAAATATGTGGTTTATTGTATGTCAATTACACTTTAATAAATCTACTTTTAAAAAATCTTAAAAGAGACATGATTTCCCTGTACCACGTATGAATATTTAAAAAATAAAAAGTTAATGTAGGATCTGTCTGACCTCAATATTATGGTTTCTTTGGAGTAGTTGCACAATTGAGTTCTAGATAACTCCACTCCAAAGCACTACAAGGTAAGTGCCAGAAGACACCTACAGACACAGGGGAGGAAGGGATGCCCATAGCATTTATGTAGCAACTACTGTGCTCTGGGTGGCTTTGCCTGCATTTTCTCTTCACAGGGACTCTTTGAGATAGATATCATTATCCTATTTTACAGATGGGAAAAGGCTGGGAGTAATTACATAACTTGCCCAAAGTCACCCAGTTAGCACTTGGCAAAGCAGGTATTAAAACCCAGGTCTATCAGACTCTAAAGCCCATGTGCCTTCTTTTTTTTTTTTTTTTTTTTTTTTTTTTGAGACAGAGTCTCGCACTGTTGCCCAGGCTGGACTGCAGTGGCTGGATCTCAGCTCACTGCAAGCTCGGCCTCCTGGGTTTACACCATTCTCCTGCCTCAGCCTCCCGAGTAGCTGGGACTACAGGTGCCCACCACCTCGCCCGGCTAGTTTTTTGTATTTTTTAGTAGAAACGGCGTTTCACCGTGTTAGCCAGGATGGTCTCGATCTCCTGACCTCGTGATCCGCCTGTCTCGGCCTCCCAAAGTGCTGGGATTACAGGCTTGAGCCACCGCGCCCGGCCTGCCCATGTGCTTTCTACAATAGAGCTCTGCTGCTAGGGCCCTTCAGAGGACACATACAGTTGGAGCCATCCTTAAAGGCTTCATGGAAGAGATGATATTTGAAATGGGCCTTGAAGTTTGGGTAGGATTTAGGTGGTTGGGGATGCAAGGTGAAGAATGTTTCTAGGCAGAGGGAACAGCATGAACAATAGCCAGAGGGCACGTATGGAGTAGAGCTGGCAGTTCAGTTTGGCAGGAGAATGGGTTGTGCTCAGAGGAGTTATGCGAGGGGAAGCTGGACAGGCGGTCTGTGCTCTGGCAAAGAAATTTCAATACTGTGCACAATTCTGGTGGCGGAGGAACCACTGATCCTGGTAGGGCCAAGCATCAGGAAATAAAACTTATTTCATCTCTGTATCTCTCCTCATAATGCATATGTGTGGTAGGGACTCAGTAAATGTTGGCAGAATGAATGAAGGAGATGATAGCTTTTGGGTTTTTTTTTTTTTTTTTTGAGACAGGGTCTCACTCTGGAGTGCTCTGGCTGGAGTGCAGTGGTGCAGTCTTGGCTCACTGCAACGTCCACCCCACCGGACTCAAGCAGTCCTCCCACCTCAGCCTCCCCAGTAGCTGGGACCACAGATATGCGCCACCATGCCCAAGCTAATTGATAGGTATTTGAGATCTGGTAATCATATCCTTATTATGATTTGAAGTCTTCACTATAAAGTGTTTTTTTTTCCTTCTTTTTAACTTACTTTGAATTTAGAAGGCAGGCTTTTCACCTTGAATGAATTTTTTTAAATGGAAGAGAAGGATGGAGAAAGGAAGGGAAAGAGAGAGAGAGGGAAGGAGAAAAAGGAGGAGGAGGAGAAGGAGAGAGAGGGAGAGGGAGGAGGGAAGCAGGAAAAGCGAAGATGGGGAGATCAGCTCAGAGCTCACTGCAGTTGTCCCAGTAAGAGGCGGCAGAGCCCTGGGCCAAGGCAGAAGCAGTGAAGCTGCAGGAAAGAGATAAATGTAGGAGAGGTTTGGGGATTTTACTGCCAGGAGTTGGCAGCTGATTGGCTCCAGTCCTGTCCAGAGATGGCTTACAGCCCCAGCCCAGGGCCCAGCTCCTGGCCTTGAACCAGAGGATTCTGATACCATTCATGGAAACGGAGAACTCTAAGAAGGTGCTGCTTAGGGGAGGAGGAGATGAGTTCTGTTTTAGGCGAGTTGGAGATGTCTGTGAGAGGTCTGAACAGTGATGTCCAGTTCGAGGTAAGAAAAGGGGTGGGGTCTAACCTCAGAGAAGGGTGTAGAACTTGCATGTGGAGATGGTGCTTAGAAATGACAGATGTGAGCTCAAGCAACGCATAGAGGAGGGAAGGAGAAGAGGAGTTCTCCCTTCCCCCCATGTCTTGCACTAGAATAAAAGTGAAATAGTTTTCAAGTTCCTGCTCTATGCTGGGCATTCTGCTGTAGTTTCACATCCATCATCTCACTCAGTTATCTCAACAACTTTGTCATCCACTCTGTTCACTCACTGCTCTTTCTGTTTCCTTCATTCTTTACTCAGGAGAGGTTTATGAAGCACCTGCTTAGTGGTTCTAGGAGTTGAGGATACCAAGGTCTTCCTTTAAAGAAGCTTTAGTTAAATACAGGAGATAAGATATCTAATTACAAAACAAGATAGAAAGTGTTACGCATCCCAACAGAGGTACTAGCAAAAGCCTAACGAAGGTCAGAGTTAGGAGAGGAGCCTTTAGCTTGTTGGGAGGAATGGAGAAGGAAGGAATGCCAGGATGGTCTCGATCTCCTGACCTCGTGATCCGCCTGTCTCGGCCTCCCAAAGTGCTGGGATTACAGGCTTGAGCCACCGCGCCCGGCCTGCCCATGTGCTTTCTACAATAGAGCTCTGCTGCTAGGGCCCTTCAGAGGACACATACAGTTGGAGCCATCCTTAAAGGCTTCATGGAAGAGATGATATTTGAAATGGGCCTTGAAGTTTGGGTAGGATTTAGGTGGTTGGGGATGCAAGGTGAAGAATGTTTCTAGGCAGAGGGAACAGCATGAACAATAGCCAGAGGGCACGTATGGAGTAGAGCTGGCAGTTCAGTTTGGCAGGAGAATGGGTTGTGCTCAGAGGAGTTATGCGAGGGGAAGCTGGACAGGCGGTCTGTGCTCTGGCAAAGAAATTTCAATACTGTGCACAATTCTGGTGGCGGAGGAACCACTGATCCTGGTAGGGCCAAGCATCAGGAAATAAAACTTATTTCATCTCTGTATCTCTCCTCATAATGCATATGTGTGGTAGGGACTCAGTAAATGTTGGCAGAATGAATGAAGGAGATGATAGCTTTTGGGTTTTTTTTTTTTTTTTTTGAGACAGGGTCTCACTCTGGAGTGCTCTGGCTGGAGTGCAGTGGTGCAGTCTTGGCTCACTGCAACGTCCACCCCACCGGACTCAAGCAGTCCTCCCACCTCAGCCTCCCCAGTAGCTGGGACCACAGATATGCGCCACCATGCCCAAGCTAATTGATAGGTATTTGAGATCTGGTAATCATATCCTTATTATGATTTGAAGTCTTCACTATAAAGTGTTTTTTTTTCCTTCTTTTTAACTTACTTTGAATTTAGAAGGCAGGCTTTTCACCTTGAATGAATTTTTTTAAATGGAAGAGAAGGATGGAGAAAGGAAGGGAAAGAGAGAGAGAGGGAAGGAGAAAAAGGAGGAGGAGGAGAAGGAGAGAGAGGGAGAGGGAGGAGGGAAGCAGGAAAAGCGAAGATGGGGAGATCAGCTCAGAGCTCACTGCAGTTGTCCCAGTAAGAGGCGGCAGAGCCCTGGGCCAAGGCAGAAGCAGTGAAGCTGCAGGAAAGAGATAAATGTAGGAGAGGTTTGGGGATTTTACTGCCAGGAGTTGGCAGCTGATTGGCTCCAGTCCTGTCCAGAGATGGCTTACAGCCCCAGCCCAGGGCCCAGCTCCTGGCCTTGAACCAGAGGATTCTGATACCATTCATGGAAACGGAGAACTCTAAGAAGGTGCTGCTTAGGGGAGGAGGAGATGAGTTCTGTTTTAGGCGAGTTGGAGATGTCTGTGAGAGGTCTGAACAGTGATGTCCAGTTCGAGGTAAGAAAAGGGGTGGGGTCTAACCTCAGAGAAGGGTGTAGAACTTGCATGTGGAGATGGTGCTTAGAAATGACAGATGTGAGCTCAAGCAACGCATAGAGGAGGGAAGGAGAAGAGGAGTTCTCCCTTCCCCCCATGTCTTGCACTAGAATAAAAGTGAAATAGTTTTCAAGTTCCTGCTCTATGCTGGGCATTCTGCTGTAGTTTCACATCCATCATCTCACTCAGTTATCTCAACAACTTTGTCATCCACTCTGTTCACTCACTGCTCTTTCTGTTTCCTTCATTCTTTACTCAGGAGAGGTTTATGAAGCACCTGCTTAGTGGTTCTAGGAGTTGAGGATACCAAGGTCTTCCTTTAAAGAAGCTTTAGTTAAATACAGGAGATAAGATATCTAATTACAAAACAAGATAGAAAGTGTTACGCATCCCAACAGAGGTACTAGCAAAAGCCTAACGAAGGTCAGAGTTAGGAGAGGAGCCTTTAGCTTGTTGGGAGGAATGGAGAAGGAAGGAATGAAAGCATATTTATTAAGTACTCACTACATGTCAGGCCCTTTGCTAGGAAAACTATTATATGTTATCTGGATTAATTGCAGCCATTTCACCCATAAAGAACTGGACAGCCCAGTGCAATGGTTCACACCTGTAATCCCAACATTTTGGGAGGCTGAGGCAGGAGGATCACTTGAGCTCAGGAGTTCTAGATCAGCCTGGGCAACATAGGGAAACCCCATCTCTCCAAAAAAAAGAAAAAAAAATTAAATCAGCTGGGCATGGTGGGGCAGCCTGTGGTCCCAACTACTTGGGAGGCTGAGGTGGGAGGATCACTTGAGTTCAGGAGATTGAGGCTGCATTGAGCCATGATCACACCACCGTACTCCAGCCTGGGAGATAGAATGAGAACTGGTCTTGGAAAAAAACAAAAAACAAAACAAAGAAGCTAGTCAACTGGTCAAGTTGGTGTCACTGCCTTGTTCTCCTGTATGAGCCTGTCTTCCTCCAGCACAGCACTTATCACACATTGCATAACTGCTCAATTGTGTCCCCCACTAGACTGTGAGCCCCACAAGGACAGGGACTGCATTTGCCTTGATCACTGGTGAATCTGTGTTGTATTCAGCAGGTTGGACCATCAGCATAGTCCCTGATAAAATGTAGGTGCTCTGTAAATATCTGTTTGGAAGGAAAGAAGGAAGGGAGGGAAGGGAGGGAAGCACAAGCAAAGAGGTTTGGGAAAGTATCTGTATTAGTCTGTTCTCATGCTGCTGCAAGGACATAACCCAAGACTGGGTAATCTATAAAGGAAAGAGGCTTAATGGACTCACAGTTCCACATGGCTGGGAAGGCCTCACCATCATGATGGAGGCAAAGGGGGAACAAAGGTACATCTTACATGGCAGCAGGCAAGAGAGCATGTTCAGGGGAATTGCCCTTTATAAAACCATCAGATCTCATGAGATTTGTTCACTTTCACGAAACAGCATGGGAAAAACCCACCCCCATGATTCAGTTACCTCCCACTGGGTCCCTCCCAGGACATGTGGGGATTATGGGAGCTACAATTCCAGATGAGATTTGGGCGGGGACACAGCCAAACAATATCAGTATCCAAGATTATATATCTATATATAAAAAATGGTGGTAAGATTCAGGAAGCAGTGTGAACTCCAAGGTGAGAGTGAGCCTCTAGGTGAAGGGGAGAATGAACAGAGCAAACTGTATTCCCCTCTTTTCATTTTTGAGCTTTTGGGGGAAACAAAATAAAAATTTTGTTTTCAGCAGAGTACTGCTGGGATGGGAAGGATGAGAATGCTGAGAATGGGGTTCCTGCTCACTCTGTCGCCTGCCAGCTCTGACCCTCCAGCTGTCACATGGGGCTCAGTGATTTCCCTGTGTCTTTACAGGATGGAGGGCAAAGCCAAGTACATCCTCCCTACTGAAACAATATATGTTGGGGAAATGAAGGACGGTGTGTTTCATGGCGAAGGAACTCTGTACTTCCCCAGCGGGAGCCAATACGACGCTGTTTGGGAAAATGGATTGGCCATAAAGGTGATCAGCCGGGGGGGGCGGGTTCTGTGGAGGAGAGATCCTCGGGCAAGAAGAGCCTCACCCTGTGGCGCCCCATCTACCCTGTCTGGTGCCTACCTCCTTCCATTCCCTCTTCTCTTTGTTTCTCCTCCTCTCCCCCGACTTTTTATTTTTATTTATTTATTTATTTATTTATTTTTGAGATGGAGTCTCACTCTGTCGCCAGGCTGGTGTGCAGTGGCACAATGCTCACTGCAACCTCTGCCTCCCGAGTTCAAGTGATTCTCCTGCCTCAGCCTCTCAAGTAGCTGGGACTACATGTGTGCGCCACCACGCCCAGCTAATTTTTGTATTTTTAGTAGAGACAGGGTTTCACCATGTTTGCCAGGATGGTCTCAATCTCTTGACCTTGTGATCCACCTGCTTCAGCCTTCCAAAGTGCTGGGATTACAGGTGCGAGCCACTGCACCCACCTGGCATTTTTTTTTTTTTTAAACGAGTCTCACTCTGTTGCCCAGGCTGCAGTGCAGTGGTGTAATCTCAGCTCACCACAATCTCTGCCTCCTGGGTTCAAGCTATTCTCTTGCCTAGGCCTCCTGAGTAGCTAGGATTACAGGTGTGTGCCAGCATGCCCGGCTAATTTCTCCCTGCTTCTGGATCTCCCAGTGCTCTAGAATCCTCTCCTTCTAGATCTGGAAGGATTTGTGGAGAGGCTATGATGAATTTGCATCTGCTACGCCACTTACTGCCTGATCTTGGGCCCATGACTTCACCTCCCTGAGAGTTCTTCACCTATCAACTCGGGACAGTAGTTGCATTAGTTATCTATTGGTACTATAACAGGTTACCACAAATTTAGTCTGAAATCAGCACAAATGTATTATCTTACAGTTCTGGAGCTCAGAAGTCTGAAATAGGTCAGCAAGCCTGCATTCTGTCCAGAGGCTCTGTGGGAAAACCTGTTTCTTTGCCTTTTCCAGCTTCTAGAGGCTGCCTGCATTCCTTGGCTCGTGGCCACGCATCACTCCAACCTCTGCTTTCATCATCACATCACCCTTCATCCCTTTGCTTTCATCATCTCGTCTTCTCTCACCCTGGCCTTACTATTTCCCTCTCATAGGAACCTTGCAATTATATTTGGCATACCCAGATAATCCAAATAATCTTCCCACTTCAGGATCCTTCATTTAATTGCATCTGCAAAATATCTCTTGCCATGTAAGGTAGCATATTCACAGGTTGCAGCAGAGAGGGACATCTTTGGGGGACCATTATTCAGCCTACCATAATAGTACAAGGCACCTCCTAGGATGATCATAAGAGTAAATGAGGCAATATATATATATATATGAACACTTTGCTAAGTTCCCAGCATACAGGAGGCACTCAATAAGTGTTAGCTCTTACTACCACCATCACTGCTACTATCATTATAACCTACCTAATCCAAGGATTCTTCCCCTGGTATTTGTGGGTCATGAATAGAATTCAGGGAGTCACTGAAACCTCTTGATTTATATACAGAAGTTTCTGTGTAAAGGGGACTAAGTTTTTCTCCAGGAAAAGCATCTATAGCTTTCATCAGTTTCACTAAGAGCATGTTGGGGCCTGACTCATGACCTAAAAAACGTTAAGATTTCTTAACCTTGTTTTATAGCTTGGAGAATCTAAGCCCCAGGAAGGGGATGTGACTTACCCGAGGTCACACAGTGAATTAATAGTATCATTGGAATTTCCACCCGTGTTTCCTGATGCCCAGGCCAATGCAATTTCTACATCCTGAGGCTTCCTTTAGCAGTAAGGCAGCAAAGGCAGAACATATGTGTTTGGACAAAGGGCCATGGCTGATGGCTCTGACCTTTCCAGCTATAATAATAATAAAAGAATAATAACATTTATTGAGTGCTTACTTTGTGTCAGTGTGTCAGTCAGGGTTCTTCAGAGACACAAAACCAATAGGATATACAGAGATGTATGGAAAGAGATTTACATTAGGGATTGGCTCACAAGATTATGGAGGCTAAGAAGTCTCCCAATCTTCCCTCTGCAACCTGGAGGCCCAGGAAAGCTGTTAGTATAGTTCCAGTCCAAACCCAAGGGCCTCAACCAGGGGAGTCAATGGTGTAAGTCCCAGTCAGAGTTCAAAGGCCCGAGAACCGGGAATGCTGATGTCCAAGGGCAAAGAAGATGGATGTCCCAGCACAAGCAGAGAGAGCGAACTGATGCTCCTCTGCCTTTTTGTTCTATCCAGGCCCTCAACGGATTGTATCATGCCCACCCACTTTGGTGAGGGTAGAACTTCTTTGCTCAGTCCACCGATTAAAATGTGAACTGCTTCTAGAAACGCCCTCATGGACACACCCAGAAATGTTTTACCAGCTATCTAGGCATCCCTTTCCCTTAACCTAGTCAAGTTGTCTCACCAACTCAACCATCACAGCCAGGCACTGTGCTACATGCTTCACGTATGCTATCTCATTGAATTTTCAATCAACCCTATTTCATGTATACCATCATTAACTTAATTTTACAAATGAAGAAATGAAGGGCCAGAGAGAGTGGGTCATCTGCCCAAGTTCATCTGCCCAAGTTCATCTGCCAAAGTGAGTTCACCTACTTTGAGTGGCAGGAACAGGGCTCAGCACTTATACCCATTCCCTCTCATCATCACAACCATAATAATTGTGATCGTTACCACTTCTTTACTGTAGCCATCAGAAAGCCCCCACTTCCCTTGACATCTGAACCTCTTGGCCAAAAGCCTTCAGCTTCCTCAGATGCACATGTGCGCTCCTTGTCTTCCAGGGCACATACACCTTTGCAGACGGGCTGCACTATGATGAGAAGAACTGGCATTACTGCGATGGCTACGATCGGAGGTTTTACACAGAGATCCTCAATGGCCTGAAGCCTGCAGGTACTCAGGCACCCACCCTTTCCTTGATACCCCAAACTGAGAGGCAAACTAAGACGGTTTCAGATAAGTGCACTGTGGCCTAATGAAGTAACTTAAAGGGGAAGAGGAACTGAGCAGCTGCAGAAGAATACAAAAGAGCCAGGTCCTGGAGCCAGGAAGGCCAGTCCTCATATCTCAACTCCACTATGCTAGTCAGAGGACCATGGGCAAGGGGCTTTACCCACTGTGCCTCAGTTTCTTCCCTTCAAAATGGAGTCAATCGGCTGGGCGCAGCGGCTCATGCCTGTAATTCCAGCACTTTGGGAGGCCAAGGCGGGTGGATCACTTGAGGTCAGGACTTCCAGACCATCCTGGCCAACATGGTGAATCCCCGTCTCTACTAAAAATACAAAAATTAGCTGGGTGTGGTGGTGTGCCTGTAATCCCAGCTGCTCCGGAGGCTGAGGCATGAGAATCGTTTGAACTCAGGAGGTGGAGGTTGTAGTGAGCTGAGATCACGCCACTGCACTCTAGCCTGGGCGACAGAGTGAGACTGTGGTCTCAGGAGGAAAAAAAAAAAAAAATCAAAATGGGATCAATAGCATAATCTACCTCCCAAGATTGTTGTAAATAAGATAATTCATGTCAGGTGTTTAGAACAGTGCCTTGAATGCATATGGGTGCACGGTACATGTCAGCTGTTCTTATTTGTAGTACCTCCTATAACACTAAAATTCTGTAAATATTTTAAAAAGAAAGAGTTAAGGGCAAAAGCAGTACTGACAGAGCATGTGCTTTGTGTATCAGGTGCTGAGGGAGGCTGTCTCCCTAATGTCTAGATGATCCTGCCCAGTCAACCTTCCTAGTCCCATGTCACTCCAAGTTGAGGCTGTGGAGTTCAGACATGGTTCCCTGTGGCAGAGCTCATACTGGAGGCCCAGACTTCCTCTCTGAGGTCCTCTGTATCATGCTCCCTCCCTGCCAAAACCGTGTTTCATCACGGACGGCTACATTTGGACTACAAGTCTGGATTCAGAGAATGGCACCTTAAAAGGCTCATCTGAGTGTTTCTGAGATGTGTTCCAGGTCAGATGAGCCTCAAGACGGGGGTAGGGGAGGGATAGCATTAGGAGAAATACCTAATGTCGATGACGAGTTGATGGGTGTAGCAAACCACCATGGCACGTGTATACCTATGTAACAAACCTGCACATTCTGCACATGTACCCCAGAACTTAAAGTATAATAAAAAATAAATAAATAATTAAAAAATTTAAAAAAGAAGAGTGTAGTTTTTGGCACAGCAGAGATAATATATCCAAAATGACAGATGGGGAAACAACTCTGTATACTATAAAAGCAATCCCAACTTAGGTTATGAGAGACCATGAGCTGTGGTTGATAGAGCATGGAGCCAGAAATTGTGGGTTTGAGTCCTAGCATTTCCTGTCTATAGCTACATGAGACTGCACAAGTCAACCTCCATCAGGGCAGAAGCCTTCAGGAAGCACCCAGGCCCTGGAATCAGGCCGACCTGAGGTCAAACCCCCATCTCCTTCCCTTCCCAGCTTCATGACCTTGGATCAGTTAGTTGACCAGGTGAGCCGCCTTCTCTCCCTTTGCCCTCCTGACACTTACTCTGCTATTTTCCTCCTATCCCCAGCCTTCTTTGCCAGTGCCTCCTCAACTTCACCCCACCCCCAGTTATTCATGCTGAGGTTCCCGGGGCTCTCTGGCTTAGGCACTTTCTGTTATCATTCTATATGCTTTTCCTGAACAAGTTGATATACTTCTAAGCCTTCAACTACCATCAGCTTCTAAATTGAAATCAGAATCCCTGAGCCTAAGATCCCTGCATCAAGCTTGACTGACACCTATCTTGGTCATTCCCCAAATTGTCTGCACTGAATTCATTGTCACCCCCACAGTGATGGCTGCCTCACTGAATGTCATGCCCATCCACCTAGGTAAGCCTAATCCTCCCTTCCCCTGCCCCCTAAGTGCAATAGTCTTATGGATTTTACCTCTGAAATATATTCTTTCATTTGTTTAGTCGACAAATATTTACTGAGTATTTCCATGTGCCAGGCAGCATTTTCTTCATCCTCCTTGCCACTGCCCTGTTCCAGCCCTCCATCATCTCTCCCCTTGATGACCTGACTTCCAGAGATCCCCACTTGGCCATTCTTGAGGTCATTCTCCTTTCTGCAGCAGTCACTTCCATCTTTTTTTTTTTTTTTTTTTTTGAGACAGAGTCTTGCTCTGTTGCCCATGCTGGAGTGCAGTGGTGTGATCATAACTCACTGTAACTTTGAACTCCTGGGCTCAGGTGATCCTCCTGCCAAGTGATCTGGTCTCCTAAGTAGCTGGGACTACAGGCATGCGCCACCACTGCTGGTTAATTTTTTTTTTTTAAGTTTCTTGTAGAGATGGGTCTTGCCATGTTGCCCAGGCTCATCTAGAACTCCTGGCCTCAAGCTACCCTCCCTCCTTAACTTGGGATTACAGGCGTGAGCCACCATGCCCAGCCACTTACATCTTTTAAAGTGTGAATCTGATTGCCCCCATCCCCCAACCCTTGAGTGCTCCCTATACCCTCAAGATAAGGTTTCAAATTCTCGGAAACAGTGACATTCTCTGGCTACTGCTCATGTCCCAGCCCCTTCCTGGGCTACCCACTCTTCTCGGTTTTTCTCTCTCCCTTCTTGCCATACTTGCTTTCTCTCTATTTCTCAAGGAGACCACACTTTTCCACCATTCTCTCTGCCTGGAATACTTCAACCCTCTTACTTCACCCAAATAACTCCTTCCCGTCCTTCACGTCTCAGCTCAATGGCCTGAAGCTGGGACCCCCTTCCCTGAATTCCCACACTAGGTAAGGTCTCCCTGTGGCATATCACAGAGCAGCCATGATCTCCCCCCAGGGCTTGGATCTTGAGTGTTCAGCTCCTCTTCCCAAGCTGTCAGCAACATGAGGGCAGGACCCTAGCACATTGTCTGGCATACAGTGGGTACTCGTTAAAGAGTTATTGTCAAACAGGGATAATGATATCGACATCACAGTGCAGGGTGAAGTATGTGCTTAGGGGAGTTAAGGCAATGACATTAAGAAACATTTCCTAAGCTCCTACTGTATGTCAGACACTGGCTGGCCCCAGGGAGACCAGAGCTGAGAGGACATCGTCTCTCCCTTCAAAGAGCTGCCAGTCTAGCTGCAGTTTGAGAACCTTGCAAATCACTCATCCCCGATTACTTATGATGGGAGGCCTGGACTTTGCCATGGGCTCTTTACCCCAATTAAGGCTGTAGGCAAAAAGCCCTCAGCCTTAGGCCTCAGCTCTCACACAGTGGCTGGTTTTGCTAAAGCTGAGCCTCTGCCAGTCTCATGGTGGTTTTTCCCAAACCTGCCTGGCTCTTCCCTTCTTCTCCAGTGACCCTCAGCAGAGAAGCTTGATTCTAAGTAGCTACTTCCTTCCCTTGTCGCTCCACACTTTGCCTCTTGGGGCTGGCATTGTTAGGGTAACTCGCCCTGCCTGCAAGGCAGGGTGAGGGTTAAAAGTGCCCCACAACCTCTTCAAGCATCTGTGAAGTAGGCATTGGCATGACGCTTCAGTGAGAGAATGGCTGTAAAGTGCCTGACGTGGAGTAAGTGCTCGGCAATCATTAGCCAGTACACACGGGGTTAGGGTTAGGGTCAGGGTCAATGTCAGGGTTAGTGCTAGGTATGTCATTAAGCAACACAAGAGTGCCTACTGTGTGCAAGACACTGATTTGTGGAAATGGTGCTGTGTGCTCAGTGGGCATCCAGCTCTCAGTCTAGAGAACAAGGAATTATAGGAACTATAGTTAGAAGGAACCTGAGAAGTTATTTATTCCAACCTCTCCCTTTACTTGAGCAATGGCTTTTCAAGATACACACACATAGGGTGCGTGACCTAAAAGGTGCACTCGATCTTCTTTCCCTCCCAGAGGTCTCAGTATCCCTGGTCCTGTGGCTGCACCTAGGCTCCCTCCTCCCCTGATGTTGGCAGCTGAACATACAGGTTCCAGAGTTAGACTGCTTCCTACCTGGATAACCTTGGGAAAGTTACTTTAACTTCTCTGAGCCTCAGTTTTCTTATCTGTAAAATTGAGCCACAGAGTTGCTCTCAGGATTAAATAAAATAGGAGCACAATGCCTGGCACATAATAAACATTGAATAAGTTGCAGCCACCTGGTAATTTTGGCGAAAGTCAAGGTTCTCCACCACCTGCCCCTTGTCCACCTGATCCATTTCTTTCCTGCTGTTCTCCTTCACACGTCCTCTGCTCTACAGGGTTTCAAGAGGAGGGCCTAAGGACCCATGCCTCTGGCCTCTGCCGACGCCTTGAATGCCACCCCTCTTCTAGACCTGATGCTCTCCCATCTGTTTGCCAACTCTGACTTACCCTTAGGGTCTGTCTGACTTCAGAACCTGTGCCCTTTTTCATGGTATCCCAAGAAATGGAAAAGGATGGGGTCAAACGAAGAAGACAGAGGGTCTAGTTCCCAAGACCCTGTTCCCAAGAGCCATTTTCAGAAAGTTCCTTTGGGGCACTGTTTCTGCTGGGTTTGCTTCTTGCCCTGAGTAGGGGTTATTTAGTTCAACAGTGGAGCCAGATAGTCACATGAGCCACCAGCCACAAGTGGACCTTATGGGAACACTGGGTTTAGATTTGGCCTTGATGGTGAACTAATTGCCCATTATGTTCTTTCAAGGTATGGCTCAACTCACCAATATGGACCCACCTAGAAAAATACCCAAGGGCTATTACGATTGTGGAGACGGCTTCTATAACCCCGTCACGAGGGTAATCAAGGACTACAGGAACCGCTTTCTGAGAAACGCAGGTAGGTTTCTTTCGACACTGCAGCACATTTTCTCTTCATCCACATATAAGTATGTGCATCCGTATGTACAAATGTATGCACACACTTGATGAGAAAAAAGCTTTTGCTGATGAAAGACAAAAATTAATACCTGGATGTTTTATCTTGTGGACTTCTCATGGCAAATCTGTACATACTCCTAGAGAGAGGTAAAAGGACATTCGTGGTCTAGCTGTGATGGCACATAAATGTCGTACTGAAAGGATTAAGGTACTTATTTTTGCATGCATTCCTTCGATTTTAATGGGCACCTACTATATGCTAGACACTGTGCTTGGTGTTGGGGAAAAAGCAGAGCAAAGCTGGACACAGCCCCCCTTCCTTGTGGAGCTTGCATTCTAAAGGTGGCAGCGTAGTACTATAAACAGTTAATTGCATCATGGAACAAACACAATGAAGGGCAAAACATGGTCCTGCAGGGAAGGGAAAGTAGGGGCCCCAGGGAGGTGGGACAGATGCTGTGGGAGCACAAAGAAGGGATATCAAATCCCGAAGTGGCAAGTCAGAGAAAGTTTCAAGGAGGAAATGACTTCTAAGCTAAGACCTGAAGAATAACTGGGATTTGACCACAAGGCTTGGGGACAGGGTTTCCCAGTGAGAGGAAATGGCACAGGCAATAACCTAGAGGGGAGTGATCCCTTGAGGTCCAAGAAGGTTGGTTCATCTTTTAGTCAGGGGAGTAGGTACCTTGGAGGATCCAGAACCTCAGTTTGGTGAGTCAACACAAGGCTGATCAGACTGAGAAGAACCCATTTGCAGTGACCACACTCACAGGAGATCAATACACAAATAATAGGAACATTTTCCTTTAATGCAGTGATTCCTAACCTTACCCTTTTCTGAAGTCACACTCCCGCTAGGAATATCGAAAGATATGGACCCTCTTGCTAGAAAAATGTCCATGCATGCACACACACAAGCACACATGTGCACACACGTGCCCACATGCACGCACGCACACACACACACACATTTTGCAGATAGTCTTAAGGGATGGATGGTCCCTCTAAAGACCCAGGTCAAGAAACCTTGCTCTATAATGAGAAAGAAACTTCCAGGTAGACCAGACCATCTGTGCTGGTGGATGACAGCATCATCTTCCTATAGGGAAATTTACTCAGTAAGTCAGTAATGACCAGAAAGCTGCCTTGTGGGGCTAGAATAAGAGCAAGGAGAATTGTCAGCTGATCCTATGACTGGAATCCTGGAGCTAAGACGCCCCTAACCCACTGGATGCTACTGGAGGAACATGGTAAATGCTCACACTCTAAGTCCCCCGGCTCACATTTCTTCAATGACTTCCCTTTTCCATTTGCACAATGCACTACTCTGTAGCATGCTAACTCTGCTGGGTGCTAATACATTTACCATGAAGTTTCTTAGTCAAATAAGATAGGGAGATATTGCCCTAAACAATGCTAACCAGGCTTATTTACTGCAGAACTTCTCAGGGCCTTTAATATGCTAATATACTTTGTACTTTTCCTTCATGGCACTTATTTCAACATAATTAAATGTAATTATTTGCTTAATATCTGTCTCTCCCACTAGACTGTAAGATCCGTGTGAGAAGGAACTCTGTATTATCTTGTGTCAGTAAGAGTTCAGTTAGAAAAATGCAAAGAGGCCTGGTGTTGTGGCTCATGCTTGTAATCCCAACACTTTGGGACACCAAGGTGGGCAGATCACAAGGTCAGGAGTTCGAGACCACCTGGCCAACATAGTGAAACACCATCTCTACTAAAAATACAAAAAATTAGCTGGGCATGGTGGCGGGTGCCTGTAATCCCAGCTATTCAGGAGCCTGAGGCAGGAGAATTGCTTGAACCTGGGAGGCGGAGGTTGCAGTGAGCCAAGATCGCGCCACTCCACTCCAGCCCGGGTGACAGTGTGAGAATCTGTCTCAAAAAAAAAAAAAAGAAAAAAGAAAAATGGAAAGAATTTAATATCAGGAAATTGGTGGCTACCAGGGAACTGGAAAAGCAAAGGAAGACATTGAGGTAACAGAGAAAGTAACTGCAGGATGCAGGTACCCCCTCAAGGACTGGGGACAATAGTAAAAGATTAGGTTGTGAGAACCTAGAAGGTCAACAGAGGGACCCCCAGGACCTGCAACCCAGACCCCTGAGCAGAGGCCAGCTGGGGCTGGCTCCTGGGAGCTCAGAGCAGGGCTCCTGCAGAGTTGGGACCCAGACCTCTGGCGGGACAGCACTGCCCAGTGGAGCCTCTGAAGAGAGAAATGAAGCTGATTCTAGGAGTGTGGAAAAAACTGGAAACTGGAAGTGAAATGACACTGCTGCGATGACACTGGCATGAACAACAAAGACAACAGAAAGGAGGGTGTCTTTGTCTGCCTGACAGCCCCTAACAAGGAGCTGGCTGGCAAAACTAATGTAATTCAAACAGTTCCAGTCCCACCGTTGCCAAGTTAAGTATAGAAGGGTCAGTTTGGAGCTGAGAGTCAGTGCCTTCTTTTTTTTAATTTTGAGATGGAGTTTCACTCTTGTTGCCCAGTCAGGAGTACAATGACACGATCTTGGCTCCCTGCAACCTCCGCCTCCCAGGTTCAAGTGATTCTCCTGCCTCAGCCTCCCAAGTAGCTGGGATTACAGGCACCCACCACCATGCCCAGCTAATTTTTGTATTTTTAGTAGAGACGGGGTTTTGCCATGTTGGCCAGGCTGGTCTTGAACTCCTGACCTCAGGTGATCCATCCGCCTTGGCCTCCCAAAGTGCTGGAATTACCTGACACCGCACCTGGCTGGGTGTCAATAGCTTCTCACTGGCCCAGCCACCCGTTTTGTTGCTCGGCATCCACACACATTCTTCTACAGATATTAAGTCTTCTGTACAACATTAACAAATGTATGGGTTTTTTGTATAACAAGTTTCAATACATCCTCCATATTAACACAAGGCCCTCTCCCCTTCTCCCACAGAGGGCAGATACCGCACCCATCTTTTCAGTAAGGTTATTCCTTGACAGTTCTGCCTGAAGATTCTATAACCTACAAGCTCCTGCCGATAATCCTTCCATAAAATAACAAGGATAAAAGAGGAAACAAAAGAAAAAATTAGTTAATAAAAGCAAATATGCTAGCCAGGCATGGTAGCTTGTGCCTGTAACCTCAGCTACTTGGGAAGCTGAGGCAGGAGGATCTCTTGAGGGCATCCTGGGCAACACAGCAAGACCTTATCTCTTAAAACAAAACAAAACAGACTGAGTGCAGTGGCTCACACCTCTAATCCTAGCACTTTAGGAGGCCAAGGCAGGTGGGTCACCTGAGATCAGGAGTTCAAGACCAGTCTAGCCAACATGGTTAAACCCCATCTCTACTAAAAATACAAAAATTAGCTGGGCATGGTGGTGCATGCCTGTAATCCCAACTACTCAGGAGGCTGAGGCAAGAGAATTGTTTGAACCCAGGAGGCAGAGGTTGCAGTGAGCCGAGATCACACCACTGCACTCCAGTCTGGGTGATACAGCGAGATCCCCTCTCAAAACAAAACAAAACAAAATGTGTATATAGATGAATAAATAGAAAGATAGATGACATAGATACAGATATACATACACATACAAGCAAGGAGAAAAAACTATATCACTACTACAGTTCTCTTTCTGTAACTGGTCACAAGGCTGTAGGTAATATTTACAAATTCCTTCTTCCATTATTCATCCCAGGTTCCATTTGCCTTGAGCCCACCCTTCCACTGGTCTGGCTTTTTACCTAGCAAGGTAATCAAAACCTTCATTCTTGAAGGGTCCAAACCCTTAGGGGTCCTGCCTTTGTTGGTTATTAGTTGGTTGGGTTAGTTTTTTATGAACTTTTACTGTGGTCAGTGGAAGTACCAAGAGGTGTCCTGGAGAACTGCTGGGTTCCATACAGTGTTCCCTTTCTCCTAATGGATGGCAGCATTATCTTCTATACCCAGCCTTCTCTCAGGAGCCAGGAGAAACTGATGGTAACACAGATTATAACAGCATAGAGTTGCTGCCAGACAACTTAGTAGGGATACTTTACCCTGGAGGCCAGTAGGCCAGGGAGGTTTCCTGGAAAAAGAAAGATCTACTCTGTAATCTAAAAAAGAACAGACAAATGCAGCAGGGTTGGTAAGAGTGTTGAAGGCAGAGGGGACAGTATGTGCAAAAGGATCATAGTTGGGAGAAAACATGTCATAAATAGGGAGCTCCAACTAATTCAGGAGCATGAGCTAACAGTATGAAAGGAGACAAAGAGCAAGAGAGGAAGCCTGAAAGGTGGGCGGGGTGAGGGCAAAGGTTATGGCTATCTTTCACCCTAAGGCAGTGGGGAGCAAGGGAAGGCTTTAGGCAGTTACTAACATAGTAACTCATTTGTTCTTTAGAAAGACTTCTTTGATTACATATAGAGAAGAGGCCAAAAGAGGTTAGATTAGGTAGGAGATCCTTCTGGTAAGATGATGGGAGAGAGGAGCATGTGAAGGACATGGGCTCAGGGTGATGGGGTAGGTGACCTGGGTTCCTGGTCCTGGTCCCAGCTCTCAGGTTGCCTGCTGGATGACCCCCGGCCAATGCCTTCCCTCTCTGGGCCCCTTTCTCTTCATGGATAAAATGAGAGAGTTGAACTGGATAATGTCTAGGGCCCTTCCAACATTAAGTAGGAGTCTATGATGGAGGAGAAAGGTAGCCAAGGAGTATTTTGGTCCTGATATTATAGGACAGATGAAGTTCAGAGTGTCCTGAAAACCACTAAAAAGGAGGCTCTGTTTGTGGCCACCTAGTCATTACCCCTGACTCACCTCACCCTGTGAGGGACTGATTCAGGCTTCTGTCCCTCTTCTGTTTTCCCCAGGGACCTCTTTCTGCTGCATTCCAGTCTACCCCCACAAACAGTTCTTCCTGTTGGCATCCTGAAAGCGCAGGCTGCTGGGCCTCTGGGCCTGAGATGGGTGACTGAGGCCATCCCAGAGTAAACACA